CTCTGCCTTTCTCCTACCTTTCCCAGAATCCTCCTTGACTCCTAGTCCCACTTATCTTTGTTTTCCTATTGGCCAACAGTACTTTATTTATAAACCAATAAGACAGTCATATACACAGAAGGACCTCCCCCAGCCCCCCGTGACCCTCTCCCCTCCCTCAAAACCTCTTAAAGCTCCTGCCATCTTCCATCAATGACCCACTGAGGACCAAGCTTCCAACACGCAATCTCTAATGGATGCATTCAACCATATCTCAACCAGAGCATTCTTTTTTCTGCCTGGCTTCTTCAGTTAGTGTTAGTTGGTAAGATTTGTCTGTAGAAGGCTGGGGAGGTAGCTCAGTAGGTATAGTACTTGCCAAGCATACACAAGTCCCTGAGTTCAAACCCCAGTACCACATGATGATGTGGTAGTATGTGCCTATAACCCCAGTGCTCAGGAGGTAGACATAGGAAAATCAAGACTTCAAGGTCATCATCAGCGGCATAGAGAGTTTGAAGTCAGTCTTTTTACATGGAACCCTGTCTTGAGACCCTGTCTCAGTCTTTTTACATGAGACCCTTTTTTTGAGACCCTGTCTCAAGAAAAAAAATATTTCTACATATTATCAGAAATAATCACAATTCATTCATTTTCATTTTGATATAGTATCCCACATTCCACAAGTTGTACCTTAAAAATTCATTCTACTAAGATGAACGTTCACAAGAACTACAATCTAGAGCTAGGTACATATCTGCTGAACATGAATATATTTTGCCAGATACATATTGAAGAATGGAATTACTAGGCTGTGTCAGCCACATGGGCAACCTTAGTAAATATAGCCTTCTTGCTTTTCAATGACTTATACACATATCAGCAAAGTCAATGAGCTCCATTTGCTCCACATCTTTGTCAACACTTGGTATTACCAATCTTTTCCATCTTAGACACTCCAATCTATGTGTAAAATGCTCTTTTGAAATGCATCTTAAAAGTAATAATAGCAACAATATTTTAATTGACATATACAATGGTTCTAGATAGTGCATGAACACATTCCTTGAGTTGTAAGTTCACAGATGTTCCAAACTCTCCTAAGGGGACATGTCCTGAGTGTTACTGACCTTAGTCATTGTGTCTCTTCCCTTCTCACTCTTATATCTTTGCTCTGCACTCTGCCTCCTATAACCAGCCTGGATCTGACCTGGAGAGACATGCAGCATCTGACTGTGCTAACCTCTAAGCGGAACCAGCTTCATGATGAGGTCCATCAGTGGCGACGGAATGGAGTTGGCCTGGAATTTAATCACCTTTTTGGCTACGGTGTCCTTGATGCAGGTGCCATGGTAAAAATGGCTAAAGACTGGAAAACTGTCCCTGAGAGATTCCATTGTGTGGGCGGCTCCGTGCAGAACCCTGAGTAAGTAGGGACAATGCCTGCCACATGTGGAAGGTACCCTTGTTGGTGATAAACCCAGAGTCCCTTTCCATGAAAGGAACCAGCCTGGGTTTCATTTGGGACAACCAGTTTCTGGGGAAGACTATAGAGATGCACAACAGCAAAGTGACCATGACCCAGAACACAGTTGTGCAACTCAGAGCCTATGCTGTAACTATTCCCACAGTTTATAGCATTATTTTTAGGCACCTGGGTTGCTTGACCAATATAGCAAGCATGAAGATCAATAATAAAACATGACTAATGTCCCAGAGGTACCCTCTAACCTCTTCCATCATCATTTCCCCAAGAGCAATCACTATTCTAATGTCATATATTAATTTGCCTATTCTATACTAATATAAATGAAGCCTATATTGCATTCTCTTTTTCCCATTTTTATTTAAATTAGAAATAGGATTGTTTTAAATGCCAATCCCAGTTCCCTCTCCCTCCCCTCCTCCCCTGCCCCCCACTAACACCAGATCCCATCCCCTTTCTGCTCCCCAGGGAGGGTGAGGCCTTCCACGGGGGATTTTCAGAATCTTACATTCTCTTTTAAATCTATATTCTTATGTGGAAAATTGTATTTGTGAGGTTTGACCACATTCAATGTATGCAGTTTATCTTGACTGTTGAAGAGTGATCCATTGTGGGACTACCACTATTGTTCACTCTTATCTGTGAGACAAGGGAATGGCTTGATTTTATTCTGCATGAGGTGGGCTATGATTTAGAGGAGTCTGAATGAGTTCTCCACACAGAAGCCACTGACTGGGTCAAGTATAGCTACTCTCCATCCCATTTCCCTTGTGTGACAAGATAATTGGTCATTAGAGAAACTGCTTCATTTAATTCATTTCTATCCTTACTGATCCATCAGTAAGATGAAGCAAATAATTTCTGTATTACATAGACACCATGAAAATCACAGAATGTAAGTACTTGTTTGCAGGAAGCAGGGTTAAAATAAGATATCACAGTATAGTACAGGCTGGCTTGAGTTCACAATCCTCCTGCCTCAGCCTCCAGAGTGCTGGGATTGCAGATGTGTTCACCAGTATTATTTGAGTTTTGATAAATATGTGCAACTGGGAAACTACCACCCATTAGAAAGATGGCATATCCCATCCACCTGGAAATGTTCCTTGTGTTCCCTTCCACTCACCCACTACAGCCACTGTTCTTACTTATTCTTCTCGCTGTAGATTAGTTCTACCAGTTCTTGAATTTAGCAAGAATCAGACAACATATGTGTTTCTGTTTCTGACTTCTTTTGCTCAACACTAAATTTTTGATATGCAGCTACAATGTTGCATGTAGTGATCTCTCATTTGTTGCAGAGTTTTCTTGTGGTCCTACCACCACAGTCAGCCCCAAATAAACACACACAGAGACATATATTAATTATTAAACTGTTGGCCGATGGC